CCTTGCACCCCTTCCCTGACCAAACCATTGGCCAAAACCAGCCTTCTTTGCAAGACTGCATAGAAAAAGGGACAGAACAGCCTGTGATTGAAAAGAAAAATATAGAGGGAGTTGCCTTCTCCACTTTTGGGGCTACTTTACTCCTTCCCTTACTAACCACACCTAAAACAGAGCACCCCCAAATTCTGAGCCCTTATTTCATCTTCACACACCCCATCATGGCATGAGAACATCTGGTGATGTTTGCACAAGGCCTCCTTGCAGGTTAGATCAGGCCTGGGCCAGCACCCTAGTCACTGGCGAAGGAAGCCAGGTAGAGTGGAACAGAGTCCTCCAATAGATGGAGTTGCTCAGCTCCAGCCCTGTCTCTGCCACCAACCCAGCCACCTAATTTTGGGCAAAAGACTTCCCACTCTGGGCCTCAGTGTCCTCATCTGTACAATGAGAAGCCTTGACTGAGATGATCTCTGCAGGCTCCTTCCAGCTTTAACATTCTTTGGCCAATACCCAGACAATTCCTAGAGAGAAGCTAGGACTAAGCTAAGCTGAGTGGCCAGGCAGGAAAGGCCACTTCCCCTCTTGAAAGAGACTTCCAGTCACTCCTTGGGATTTATATTCAAAAAAGAAAATAAAGAGAAATGACATCATAACAGAAATTATGGAAAGAAATGAAATTGGAAACAAAAGGGATTCTCTAGATATGAGAGGAGAGAGAAGGTAGAAAGAAGACTGCATTGGTGTCCTTGTTTATTATGTGCCTTTGCAAATATGCATAAACCTTATAGCTTTGGGAAACATAGGCAGATGACAGTTTAAGGATGGCCTCTGGGAATTGCAACTTTTGGACTGACTGTAGTGAAATAGCAAAACAAAAACACAAACCCTCTGTTACTACTTGTCTCTTACCGCCACTGCTGTCCCGCCCTCTTCACTTCTGTTCCTGCTCCCTTATTGGTATCCGGTCCATGTATATGTTCTTGTAGTTTCTGGAAGCAGTGGGTCTGGAGTGTAGTGATTCCTTCTCCAAACTTTTATTTTCCACACACACTAAATATCACACAGTTTCATAGCCATTACTTGGGTATAGAGTAAAAACTTTACACAAGTATACCCTCCCCCTCCTGCACTCTCCCAGCCCCTATGAAAGGTACCAGGGCTTCTCCCATGCCCTTTGCTCTAACCCTCCCAGTGACCTCTGGCTTCTGGGGTCAGCCCTGTCCTCCCTCCACAGCTGCAGGCCCACCTGCCTGCTCAAGTCCAACCCCAGCCCCAGGACTAACCAACAGCTGCTCTGTCTCTCTTAGAATGCAAACCCTCAGGGGATGCCTTAGGGTTGGGGTGGGGGATGGAGAAAGGGAAAAAAAAAGAAGAGCAGGAGAGAGGATAAGAGAGGAGGAAAAACACCAATGGAAAGAAAAGGAGCTCTCCTTGCAGCCAACTGTACTTGTTCTTCCAGGCTGAGCTGATGCAGCAGAAAGAGAGAAAGGAAGGGGGAAAAGGCAAGAAAAGTCAAGTTTAAGCACAGTCGCTTGTCTTCCCCACTCCCGTTTTGGTTGGCGCAGGGCACAGCCAGACTTTCAAAGGCTTGTTTCAAAGGGAGGGAGTGCGGGTGGGAAAGGATTCTGGCTCCTTCAGTTTTCCATGAGCTTGTTCAACCCAGACATAAATTTGGCCAATAAACCTAACTCTGGAACTTGCCTTCAACATGGCTTTCGGACCAGGCTTGGAGTTGAAGCCAGGATGATGGAGCCAAACCCCTCCAAGATTCAAAGACCGAATTCATTTTTATTTAGGTAATGTTTCCCCACTCGCCCCAAGTGTATTTTCTGTCCCTCCTTCTCTCCTATTTCTCAATGACGGAACTGAAACCCAGAATTCCCCCCAAACAAGTATAATCTAAAGCTCTGTCCAGGCTCCCTGACTTTCCCCTGGTTTATTTTCCGGGTTCCTCTGGCCCACTGCCTCTTCCCACATGCCTCTTTGCAGGGTCTTTTTGAAGGCACATGCTAGAGTTCACAGGGTAGGGTGGCAAGGGCCCGCTAAACCCAACCTCCCACTCTTCTTTGTCTCCAAGGGATGTCAGGGTGCCTTAGCGCCGCCTTCAGCACACACAGACACTTCTCACTTCCCAAGGTTGATATCTCACCCGCGCAGGACAGACCTTCCAGAACCCCACGAGGGTGCTGGGCGCCTATAAAGCCACAAGGTCCCTTCTCCAAACAATGCCCTGCTCTCTCCACCTTTCTTCGTCGGATAGGCGCTTGGATATTTACTGAGTTTGGCCCAAAAAAAAACTCCCGTCCCTCGCCACCCTCCAACCTCACGCCCTCTGTTTCTATATCTATCTCTGGCCCCGAACTGGCCAAAATAAAATGCAGGGCCAGGCCGACTCTCTCTCGGGTTGCTGAGCAACGCGCCTAGCAAAACACCCATCCAGGCCTGGCCGCCATCTCTTCCTCCCAGAAGCTTTGGCTGCCTGCCACCTTGCTCTCCTCCACTCCTCATTTCTGATTCTAGACATGCATTTTTTTTTTTTTTGGTTAAAAAATATATATATATACATATATATGTACACATACATATACATTATGTGTGTGTACACATATACATACATACATATATATATATATATATATATATATATATATATATATATACATATATATGTAGCAACCGCAGGGAGGAAGGGGAAATCCATTTCGCTCTGCTCATTTTTTGGGGTGTATGCGTTGAGGTTTTTGCGGTGGTGGGTTGGGGCAGGAGATTTGCCTAAGGGACTCACCACTCTCCTTCCTCTGTCCAGTTTTTATCTCCTTAAGAACTGTTTCTGTGCCATCTCCAACTTTTGGGGGACCACCCAACGGTTCTCGAGCTGAAAGGCACTCGCCAGGGGCGCCGGCTCCCATCCCATCAGCTCAAGAGGAAGATGTGGGCCGGGGCCGCCGGCCAAGCTCAGCCAACATGCAACTGCCGTCCTCTAGGCACCTGCCTTTGGTGGGGTAGAGTCCGCGAGAAGCGCGGGGGCGGGCTCAGGAAGGCACACTTAAAGTGGGGGCGTTGAGTAAGGGGCTGCAAAGAAATCTAAAGGGGAGCTTTTTTGGGACAAAAGCTGGGGTGGGGGGTGCGGTGAAGCGCTGTGTGTGGAATAGGTTGCTCTGGAAGTTGGATGCGCCTATTTACTCTTCCTGCAATTGCGCGCGCGTGTGCGCCTGGCGCGCACACCCACCACATGGCTGGCCAAAGAAAAGCAGGCCAGGATGCGGCTGAAGGGATACCTCGCATACTTTTGATGTGACCAGATTGTTACCAGAGCTCTCGCTTCCAAGTCAGGAAATCAATTCAGACCTTTTCCCTGCACTAAACTTTTCCAAATCCACATCTCCCAAGATGAAGGCGGGAGGGACTGCCTTTGAAAAGCGGCTCTTAATAAAAATAATCCCGCAAACTGGCCTCTGGGACCTCTGGGGCCTGCACTTCGCCCTCCTCCTCTTTTTTGCAGACGGCAACCAGGACAGCGACCACCTCTTTCAAAGCTGAGAGGGGCGATCGCCTGCAACAGGCAAAACCCAGCAAAGAAAGCTCTCCTGCCTTTTGTCGAGCGCCGATTCACTCCTCTGCTACAAGATAATGTCTAGTTTGCTCTTAAGAAAACCCCGTACTGGGAAGCTCGTGCGTAACGTTAGGAAAGGCACTGTCCCAGTAAGAATCTGCTCTGAGTAAACGTTATTTAGCCAAATCGTTACCACTCTTGGAGAGAATCAGTAACCAGGTTGTCGTCTCAGAATCCAGACTTTTGTGTATAGTTCATTAAACTTTTTTTTTTAAGAATAACTTACGATCAGGTAACTCCAAAAAGAATTCCGGTCTAAAGGGGCAGAACTACTGATTTAACAAGTATCTCGGTCAATCGTTTAAACCCTAGACTCCCGGCGCCGTGAATTTGGGGGCGGGGCAACTTGGGTGTGGGGTGGAGGCTCCGGGTGCATGGGTTTTCTGTCTCCGCCTCCTTTAATTTGCATTCTGCGTTTCCAGGGCCCCTCGGCGCATTTACACCACGCCCACTTGTGATGGGGTTTGAGAGACTGGGGCTAGGGATGGAGAGGATTAACACAGGCAGATACGGATGTCTGAATCTCCCATCCCTTCTAGCCTCGCAACCGAGTATCCACCTTTCTTCCTAGGTAAAATGTAAATTGGGGAGGGGAAAAAGGAATTCGATTCAGGGACGAAAACCCAGCAAGAACACCGATCCCTCCCTCCTCCTGCCCACCCTCACCGAGCCTAAGATATTCTTTTCCTTCCTGGGAGAAGAAAAAAAAGGCGTTTTGCATTTTAATGTTTCACCATCCACTGCAATCAATCATATCAAGCTAAAAGTAAAGGGCACACGTGGAAAGGGGACCAAAGCCCCTACCCAAAAGGCATTGACTACCTAGAGTATGTGTGTTTGTGCTGGGATGCAGGAATAGAAACGTCCGGAGGGACTGGGGGAGATGGGCGGGCTGGAAGGGACAAAGGTGGAATTAGCTCAGAAGACGGATACCGCCTCTCTCTCCAGGCTTGCAATTAAAGCGATATTTTAACAAAGGAGATTTTTTTTTTCAAGTTCAGGTAAACCATATTGGCTGGGGCGTGGAGGAGGGAGTTAATAATGGACATACACTGTTTCATACTGGAGATGGGGGACCAGGGGATCTGGACCTGGAGGCCGAATACGAGCTCAGAGTCAGCATTCAGACTCGGAGGATGGGTGGGTGCGGTGGGGTGGGGTGGGGGCATCGGGAAGGAGAAGGATCGAAAACTGGGTGGCTCGACTAGAAAGCAACCTAGGGTAGCAGGATCGTCCGGGGCTTCGATTCCGAGATCCAGGGACCCTCCCCGCCCAACTCCCGGACTACACCCGGCTCTAGGCCACTTGCTGGGCACAGCGCGCGGTTCCGCTGGTCCCGTGTCCCCCGCCCTTGCGCTGGGTGGCTGCCTGGCACCCTGAGCGCGCTCACCAATCTTGACTTGCTCGCGGTAGCTCTTCTCGTTGAGGCAAACCCCACGGCCGTGCAGTAGGGCATGCAGCGGCTTCTCCTCGTCCTGCCGGGGGAGGCAGCGTAGCCCCTGGGCGCAGCGCTCAGTGTAGACGCCGCACGACTGCCCCTCAGCCAGGGCGCACGTCATGCAGCAGCCGCAGCCGGGCTCCTTGACCAGCTCGCAGCCCAGAGGGCTGGGGGGGCACATGGACAGGGCTTTCTCGTCGCAGGGCTCGCAGTGCACGAAGGAGCCCAGGCTCTGGGCCGGCCCCGCGCAGACGGCCAGCAGCAGGAGGACCGCGGTGAGCACCATCTTCTCCAAGTCTCCCCCTTTACCTCGGGGCGGGGCAGGAGAGCGCGAGCGCAGGGAGGAAGGGGCCAAGAGGGCGCCCGGAGATTTTTCTTGGGTTTTAATTTCTGGCAGGTAGAGCAGGTGCCCTCTCGCAGACACTTGCAAAATGTAGGGAGAGATGGAGGATTGGGGTGCCTGCAAGCAAGTCCCAATTGCAAGGGTTAAAGACTAGCAACAGGTTGGGGTAAAAAGCAGCGCCAGGTGCACGGCGAGGTAGTGAAGATCGGAGAACCCCCAAATCCGATCTGCTCAGAATCGCGGGGCGGGGGGGAAAGTCACCCCAAGCAGCCACCGGAATAATGAATTCGGAGGCTGTAGAGGAGAAGGGAAGGGTCGAGGGGATTTATCTTTTAAAATTTTTGTTTCAAATCTAAAATACTCCCACCTCCTTTCTAACCCTCAGCAGCCAGCTGCGCGCGGCTGCCGCGGAACAGGTAAGAAGCGGCGGCTGCAGCCGAGAGGCTGGGGGAAAACGTAGAAAAAAAAAAAAAAAACCCACAAAAAACCTAACACCTCTGTTCCCCCACTCTACCACCACCTCTTCGAAATTCGCAGGTTCTGCGTAAAAGCCCGGAGAAGGGTGCAAACGGAAGAGGGGATAATTAAAAGGGGACGGCGGGGCGGGTAAAAAAGGAAAAGCCCAACACCGCTTTGCAGCGCTTTGCTAGCTCTTTTCCCCGGCAAAAGTTTCCAAAGAGACTACGGGCTCTGGTCGAGCAGGCGCTTTTAAATAGACGGCCCCTGGCTGCCAGCCAGTTTGTAGCTGCAATTTGAGCTCCCCAACACCCAACCCAGGCAAGGATGCCAAAGAGCTTTGCAGCACAAACTCACATGGGGTGGGGGTGGGGAGAGGCCTTCTAGACACACGGGGGCTCTCCTTCGCTCCTGAACAGCTCCCTCCTCCCCCCGGAATGTAAGAAAGGGGCACAGGGACTGGGCTCCGGCTGCTGGGGGTAGCGGTGGGTGTGGAGGACAAGTGAAAGAGTTCTCCAGAGCAGGGTGGATACAATGAGAGTCACTCGTCTCCCCCTCCCTCCTATCCCTTCCCTAGCCAAGGCCCAGGCTGGAGGGAGAATTTTCTCATTAGCCAACTGGATATATGCAGAGCCCCAGAAGTTGTTCCTAAGCTTTGTTAAACGGCTGTTTGCTAGTTACCATGTAAGGTTTGTGTGTGTGTTGGGGGTGGGGTGGGAGGAGGTAGCGTAGGCTGGCCAAGGATGGGTGGTGAGCTCAATTAAAAAGAAAGAAAAAGAAAAAATGGATTTTCCCTGCCCAGAGTCTGGGGATGGGGCTTAATGGAGGTTGTATCTGTTGCTGGTAAAGTGACTGTCTTTGGTCATATGATCTTCAGCTACACTGTGGGCCCAGGGAACTTGTGTGTGTGTGTCTGTGTTGTGTGTACTTGCAGGAAGGGACATTCATACAACTCAACATTGTTGGGAGCAGAGAGTTACAGAGACGACAACACATTGGAAGGAAAGTTGTTAAGTCTGAAACCCTTGCCCAGTGACCAAAAGTGTCCTAGTGTGGGGTTTTTAGATGGAAGGAAGGCAGACTGGAGCGATAATTTCCCTCCACCTGGTTTAAAGGGATTGGCCAGGGCCACATCCCTGGAGGGAACGGGTGACAGATCAGAAGGAGCCCGTGTTATAAGGTTAACTGGTGCATGCAGGACTATCCCAGGAATATGAGATGAGAAGGCCACAGGACTTGCTCCAAAGAGACCCTGACCCGGAATGTTATCCTCTCATTTGAAACCTTGGGTAATCTATTCATACGCTATGCACCCTTTTCTTTCTTCAGTTGAATGATAGAAAATCAAGGTGGTGATTTCGGCTTTTTCTGAAATTGACGTGGGCAAGCTGGGGACTTCATGGTCAGTCCAAGAGAAATGACCAATCATCACCGCCCTGTTTGGGTGTCCTTGGAATGGGCCTATTATCCTCTTTGCATTTTCCTCCTTCTCTTTAGAAATGTTCTAACTCTCCTTTGGTGAAGGGGCTGCATTTCATGAAGTTGGCCACTAGACTGCACCCTTATCTATGATAAGAATTTTTCTGGAGGACTGCTTTTAAGAAAACATTCCTCTTGCTGGCTTGGTTTAAGAGGATCTCGCTTCATGCTTCAAACACTCCCAAGATCCTGATCTCACCTCTCACTTATCTATTTGCCCAAAGGCACATCTTAAAACAAGGCTCAAGTTTAAGGTTGTGCTTTTGCTTGTATTGCCAAAGGGATTTTAGGTGTTGGCTGGGACAGGGAGGAGGAGCTGTGTGAAATGATTTAAAAGAAAAAAAAAAAAAAAAAAGAGCAAGACCCATTCTCACTGCATTTCCTCTCTACCTGGGGCTTGCTAAGGTAGGGGACACATTAATATTAAAAAATTCGGTTGAAATATTTTAGGAGCGAGGGAGATGATGTGCTACTTTCTCATTTGTGTCATGTTCAGACTAGAAGGGTGGCAGAACAGTGTGTGGTGTGTATTCCGGTCCCTGCTCCTATTTCAGCACACTGGTAGCATTTAAGATGAATGAGGAAATTGTGGTGTTCCTTCCAAAGAAACATGAGTTGCCTTGTTCCAGCCACCCTGTATTCCGAGAGAGACAGCCACTGGGGACATGTCTTTTGTCTAGCTGACTTCCACTGACTGGAAAATAAAATGTCTGAGGGCAGGTACAAGGAAGAGGGGATGATTCATGGAGAAGACAAACAGGGTAGAGAAGGAAGCAGATTGTGGTGGGAGCTGTTCCTTGGGGTAGGGCAGTTAGAGGGGGCCAAGGAGAGAGGATACTCTGCAAGTCTGTAAACGTTAAGCAACCATTCTTTATTTCCACTCAGAAACGGGCTTATGTTATGAGGGGTTTAGGTTTGACCGATAGAACTAAAGCTGCTGTCCAAGGAACCCAGGTTTGGCTTCCTGTGAGGGCATAAGAGAGAGAAGAATTCTGGGTAGTCTGGGATTGTTTAGAGTGATTTTTGTCCAAAGGTGTTGGGGGGGACTAGCTGGCTGGGTTTTACTTCTGAAACTCTGTAATTAATGTATGACAGTGGAGTGGGAAGGCGTTGGTTACACTGTAATAGGATGTTGGATTTAGGGGGATGCCTAAGAGACTTTCTTAATTCCATTTCTCCCTCGCCTCCATTCTGAAGGCCTAGATCTGTTTACAATCACCGTTAGAAGATTGCTTCTGGGAAAAAATAGTTTGCATCAATCAGTTTAGCTGGGATGGGCTCATTTATTTCTGCCAGATGCAAATGTCAAAGGCCAGGTTCCCTTCCCAGAGGCCTCCTTCACTGCCAACTTGGTTTCACTGCCACGAGCTTCCCAACTCTGGCATATACAAGTTTTGATTCCTTTTAACCACATCTTTCTTGGAGAAGTAGGAAGTTAAATATCATCCACTGTGTCACGTTTCCCCAGAGAATACCCCTCCCCATTCCTTAAAAGATTAACTGCATATCAAAACCAAGTTCCAAGATATGGAGCTGAGTGAAAGGGTTGTGTATTTATCTGGACAACTTTTCCAAGGGTGGACAGCATTTTTGTTTTACAAATCTTCAGAGTCCTTGCCTCTGATCATTTTCTGTGGGTATCAATGTGAAAGTTCCAAGGAAAGGGTAAGGCCTGATAAAATGGCTTGGGAAAGTTAGACTTTTAGGAGGACATAAAATATCATGGTTTCTTCTATTTGGAAAGGAAAAAAGACAGCTGGAGAGGTCTTGTGTTCATTCCCTCTATGCACCACTCTCAGCATTCTGAAAGACAAGCTTGCCTAAACCATTGCCCACAGGGAGTATTTATTCTGTTTTAAAGATCTCACGAGATTGACATCAGCCTCTTTCCCAGAAGCCAGCTCATAGTAGGTATTTAATGCTGCTGCCTCATTCTGGTCCAAAACTAAGGTATGTGATCTTCAAGGAATGAAGTGCACAGTTGCTCAGGTCCCTTCCCAGATAAGGGAACTTCAGCCAAGACTGAGGTCTGTGAATAAGAGCTTCTTCAGGCAGCTTTGTTGAAGTAACATTGCTGAAGGCTAGGTGGCAGAATAGATACACCATTAAAAACACGCCTCCTTTCAGGAAAGCAAAAGAACCAGACTGGTAGAAACTATAACAATGGGGACAGGGGGTGGGGGGAGCAAACGTATGTATGGAGGGACAGACAATCAACACCCTGTGGTCCATTTGTCATGCCACTCCAGCCTCAGCCCTACCATTTTTGCCAGAACAGCACCAATCCATTCGAAGGTACAAAATCCTCCAAGTTTCCCCAGGACCCCCGTTCATGGTTTCTTTACCTGGAAGACAAGGTGGGGCCAGGCCAGAACTTGATTATTTTGGGTTCATCAAAGAATGTGCAAAAAGCTTCTCTGGTGACTAATTAGAATGTGGTCTTCAGCCAAAGTGCATATGAAATTTCTTGTTTTATTTTAAAATGCTAATGATGGTATATTTCAACCATGCGAAGAACAGAAGATAATACAGCAGTTATCCCTACACTTGCTACATACATTCAACACATGTTAACATTTTGTTATCTTTGAGATTTCTTTAAAAAAAGAAATACAGTGTTACAGATAGCTGCTAACTTTCTGCTTTATCCCATTCATCTGTCTTCTCTCCTAGAGGTAGCCACTGCTCTGAAACAGCTCTGTATGTTTCTCCACAGATTGTCTAGGTTTCATATGAAGTTTCTTATAGAACAGAGGTAGAATGATTTTGAGAATGAAACCATGTGCTACTTTAGAGTTAATTTTGTAATGACACTCGCTTTGGTGGCAACTTAACTAGAGTCTGAATTGACCCCGGGGCTGACTTTTGAAGGAGCAGGAGCTACCTGCAACTCAGGGTGATTTATATTTCTATGTGAGCAGTATATAAGTGAATAGTTTTAGAAATCAATATTTAGGAGGCTTCTGGAGCAGTTCCAGACAGTTAGGGCAGAATAGTGAGCGCTCCATAAATAGTCTCTGGGTTGGAGGCCTCCTGTCTTCCTGGATTATGGGGTCTGGCGTGTTCCTACAATGGACAGCCCTGAAGCTGTTTTGAATTTTGGAAGAATGAGATTAACCAGGAAAAGTGGTCTAGTATGATTTAGAAGACAGTGTTAGTAGATCCAGATCTAGAAGGGAGAGAAAATGGGCTGAGGAGGGGAGATAGAGTTGTAAGGGCTAGGAGGAAAGAGAAACAGTGTCAGCTGCTTGAGGTAGGTTTAATATGGTGCAGCTGAGCCATGAAAAGGACAAATAAAATCAC